TCCCTCCCCCTCCCATCCCCATCCCCTGGACCCTGGGAATGGAAGACAATGTGGGATGGGGCCCACGCCCCTGTCTGAGGTACAGTCACTGCCCCTTGCCCCCCGCCCTGGCTCTGCCCTTGTCCCTCCCAAGTGCTGGGTGGTGTGGTTCAGGGTGGGTGTTTATAGAGGGTCTCCCGGGAGTCAGAGCTGGTGACGTGGCATCTTGGTCTGGGCTCGGGATGTCTGTGTGAGGCCTCTCTCTCTGGCTGTTCCACTGTGTGTGGTGTGGTGTGCCAGGGTGGGGTATTTCTACAACCAGAGAGAGGCTACAGCCTCTCAGCGCCCCTCCTGACAATGCTGCCCACCCTTGGGGGAATGACAGCTGGTCACTGGCTACGGCTGGAGCCAGAGGGCTGTTGCTGGTCAGTCGCTGGTGTGTGTGGGGGGCGGTCAGGCCAGCCTTTGGGAGGTACAGGTGGCGGAGAGTCCAGGGAATAGAGCAGCTCACCCACAGGTGTGGGCCAGCTCAGGGACGCTGAGGGCAGCTGGTTGGTGCTGCAGGTGGCCAAAGGGAGTGGGGGTGGGGTGGGGAAAAGCACTGAGACAGACAGGTGACCAGACACCAGCCTGACAGTTGGATGGAAGCACCGATTGGCCCAGGAGGGGGCCAGAAAGTCCAGGGGAGAGGGGGGCAGGGAAAGTGGGAAGGTCTCAGGCCGCTGAGCCAGTGATGGAGCCTCTGGCTACAGGCAGTTGGTGGTTGACAGCAAAGGGACCCAGAGCCCAGATGGAGATCCCCCACCTGCCCACAAAGGCTGAATGACAGCTTGACAGGTGAGTGCCACACCCCTCCCCACTCCTAACCTGCCCAGGAGACACCTTTTCAGCAGGGAGGGGAGGGGGCGGTGTCCGTGCATATATTGGGAAAATACAGGGGGCTTGGCAAACCTCCCTCACAGCTTCTACCACGAAGCCCCCGTACCTACCTCCAGCCCTAGGGGAGAGGCAGTGGGGGTGTCAGGGAGGGAAGATGGAAGCCCTCTTCCCCACCCTGCCC